GTTGTTGTCTGTTCCCAAAGAACCCGAACTTCCTGTCTTGGAGTGGGTTCTGGCTTGGTTGTGTGCGCGGTCAGGAGACCAGAACGTGTTTCTCACGTTCAGAGAAGCTTCGTTTCTACAGCAAAATTCTTAAGCCTCTCCAAAACTAGTCTTGATTATTAGGATAAAACTTTGCTGTGTTTGGAGATGCATGGGACTGGTTTGCATGGGAATAACACTGTCATGCTAATTACAAATCTTTCACTGTTGTGTCCATACTTTGGGTGATGCTGTTGGTTATCTGTGTATTCTTTAACTTAATTCTGTCACCTAAATCTTTTTTCTAGTAGTGGGTATGTTTTCAGGTATTTTTGTTTCCTGATTTTAACTTAGTTGGTGCAATGACAGACTTTGAAAAGAACCTCCGTCGGGACACGATTTCCCAGCTGCACAACTTTGCTGCTGTTGGAGATGCAGCCAAACTGAAAGCATTGCTCAGCGTTTATCCGTCACTCATCAATGCAGCTGCAGATAATGGCTGGACAGCCCTCATGTATGGTGCCAGAAATGGACACCTTGAGGTTGTGCAGATTCTTCTTGAAGAAGGGTAAGCTGTTTAGTAGGTCCTGTTGAAGAGCTCTAACCTGAATCCCTTTGCGCCCATTTCAAGAAAGTAAATTACCTGACAACAGAACTTTCAGGGTTCAAATTCAAATATGTTCTGTGTCTGTTTATAACTGGATTCTGCTGCCATAACATTTCCATATTTGCTAAGAAACTTGTTGAGAGTTAGGACCATGTCTAAAATTATTCCTTTGGCCTTTAAGGAGATAGTGTCACTTTTCCCAGAGACCAACAGAACAAAGTTTGTATCCCATTCTAGCCACTGTACAGAGAATAATGCAGTATAATTGATTATTCCACTTAGACTTTTTCTTTAAACTTTATTTGTAATCGACCTGTATCTACGTTACAGAATGTTTGCTGAACATACTGACAGCATACTTAAGTAGGACATGAAAGACACACCTTTACCAAAGTTAGTGATTGATATGTTTCAGTTATCTCTTATTTTTTTGACAATTCATTTCCTCCTTGAGCTGTTGCATTATTTTTATCACTCAGTATGACATGAAGCATGTTCATTGTTTCTTAGAAACATGCTGTCATACTTGTCTATCTTCAGGTCAATTCTTGTAGTTCTATTTTTTCAAGACACTCAGCGAAGAATGCTTTAGCATTCTCCTTGAGACCCCAAAGAAGATTCTTCTGAAGCCTAAATAAAGTCAGGACCCAAATATTTCAAATGGAGAACATTTCAAAATGAAGAGTGAAAGCCAGGTGATGTGCTTCCACTGAGCTGTACGTTAATCAAGCCCAGTCTGTTCCTTCCTGCACCTCAAAAGCAGAACTAATCAAGTTCAGTTCATTTTCTGGTTATGAGTAATCCCAAACACAGTGTTCCACAGCCTCCGGTGATCATCCCATCCTTTTTATTTCCAGTCTTACCCAGATGATGTGCCCTCTTCTGGGGCCAGTCACAGAGCATCAGGTGAACTGCTGTTTTGTACTGTAACCAGTACGTTCTAGCACATAGCGGAGTATCTCAATGCCCGATTTCGTGGATTTAAATCATCTGGGTGTTGAGGAGTCTTTTGAGATTCTGTGGGAGTCACAAGTTTGGTAAATAGGATGCAGTTTTTTAAGTTACGCTGACTGTAAAAGTACACTGAATATCTGCTTGTAAATGTCTTTTTCAGAGCTATTCTCTTAGGCAGTTGAATATTGTTCCTGAGGTGATACTCTGGCCTTATTGGTCTCATTCTAGTTAATGCTTAGTCATAATAATCATTTGGACAAATACTGTTGCTGGATACATAAACATGAATGTCTGTGCAGGTAGTATTGCACAACATTCCCGAAACTAATCCAGGAAAGCTAGTCAACTTTATATATTCATATTCTAGAAAAGCTGCAGGAAATGTTTGTGACACTAAGCAGAGGCTGTGTTTTTGATTCCTATTTCATGGTACATATTTTACTGTACCATTGGTACATATGGTACATATTTTACTTTTTTTTGTTTTGTCTTGTTATTTGTGGTTATTCAGAAGAGACTTGTAACCTGGCTTTCAAAGTCCAAAGGTCCAAATGTAAATGTCCAGAGAAGGGCAGCAAAGCTGGTGAAAGGTGTAGAGAGCATGCCTTATAAGGAGGGTGTGGGGGAACTGGGATTTTGTTTAGTCTGATAAAAGAAGGCTGACAGGAGATCCCATCACTCTCTATACAGCTACATGAAAGGAGGTTGTAGTGAGGTGGGTGTTGGTCTCTTATCCCACGTAATAAATGGTAGGAAAGAGAGGAAACAGCTTCATATTGTTCCAGGGGAGAACAGATTGGATATTAGGAAAAATTTTGTCACCGAAAAGGTTATTAAGCAGTGGAACAGGCTGCCCGGGGAAGAGGTTGCATTACTATCCCTGGAGGTATTTAAAAGATGTGTAGGTAGCACATAGTGACAGGATTTAGTGGTGGACTTGACAGTGTTAGGTTTGCAGTGGGTCTCAATGATCTTAAAGGTCTTTTCCAACCTAAATGATTGTATAAGTCTATGATTTTTTTGTATTTTTTTAGTGATATGATGTGTTGGATTTTCAATTAATTCATTGCTGTTGTACTTCATTAACCATGGTAAATGATGATCTGGAGTGGATCAACAAACTGGTGTCGGCTTTAGCAAAAGAAAATGATATATGATTAGTCTTCATTACTATAATGCTAAGTATTTAGCCATGTGGTAGACAGACTGTCTAGAAGTTCTTGCACCTATTAGTATGAGATGTATATGCTGTAATTAAGAATAATACAGCATCAGGACTCAATGTATTTATTGGCAACCACTGTTGTTTTCTGTTTCTCTAGGTGTGACAGGACTACTGTTAATAAAGCAAGGCAGACAGCTTTAGACATTGCTAAATTTTGGGGGTACAAGCACATAGTTAATTTGTTGGCTAATGTGAAGGGTGGACAGAGGCCTACTTTTCTGTCAAATGAAGCAAAGGAATATGAAAATTATTTTGGCTTGACACTTCTGGACAGAAGGAGTGATAAAAGAACAGATACCAAGTGGCTAAGCAAAAAACAAAGCCATCCAACTACCATATATATTCTCTTCTCAAATCTGAGTCCTTTGGTTACTTTGGGTGGGGGAACAGAGAGCTCTCAGCAGTCAGAAGTAAAGCTTTGCAGACTGCGCCACAAGGATGTGGAGCAGTACTTGAACCAAACTGAAGATGGGACCTTGATTTTTCTTGGAGTTGAGCTTCAGTTCTACACGAACGTGCTGGCTGCTTGCAATGGAAGAGTTCTGCAAGAAGATGAAGAGGATGGGTTAGTTGCTTGGTTTGCTCTTAGCATAGATTCTGCTTCAGCTGAGGAATTTAAACAGAAGCATGAGGACTGTTACTTTCTTCACCCAGCAATGCCAGCGCTACTGCAGCTACCTGAAAAAGAAGCTGGTAAGATGCATAAAAAGCAGCAGTTATCAAACGTATTCAGAAAGATACACTTTGAGACCCACTGAGATATAACGCATGGACAAACCACTGCAAAGGGATCTGGTATTTTCAACGGCTTTAGGAATACTGTAATTTTAAAAGCGTGGCAGTGGTTTTGTGAATAATTTGTATGTAAGTGTGTAAGAACTTGTGCAGTTGCAAAGGGCTAATGCACAGGTGTTGGCAGTGCCTTTGCATGGCAATGGCAAGTATTGGACCATAAAATCTATTACTGTTACGGTTTTATAAGCACTACTTTTTAAATATTGATGCATGTGCATAGCTGTTCTAAAATGAAGAAAAAAATCTGTTGCTACTGAGTTTTCATTACACAAAATAAAGCTGAGCCATTAAGAAGAGTGTGCTGGACACTCACCTGAGAAGGAAACAATGTGAGCAAGTGTTGGAAAGTCAGGATCCCAAAGTGAATGACTGTCATTATGGAGATAATGTTTAACAACTACTGTTGTAACAAATTTGCTTTGATGGAAGGATTAAGGGGAAGCTTGCACCTGAAGTTTAAATGGAGCAATGCATTATTATGTCAATACCTGTAGTAGCCCTGAAATGGTCATCTGGAAAAGGTGTGATATGTAATTCTGGCACTTTGCCCAGATAAAGTAGCTTTTGTGAGAAATGCAGCATATTGATCCAGATTGTTTCTGAATGCATAAATTCATCTGTACTGTGTTCTATTGCACGTGCCATGCTACAAAGATCTGAATAACTTATATTGCTCAACAATTCAAGCCATAGTCTTACTTTGATTTTTATGTTAAAATTTACTACTTGCTTTGTCTGTACTGTTAAAAGCTTACGTGAATTGGTCATTGATTTTGTGTGTTTTCAATATATTCTTTTAAAGGAGTAGTAGCCCAGGCTAGATCTGTTCTAGCATGGCACAGCCGCTACCGATTCTGCCCAACATGTGGGAGCACAACCAAGATTGAAGAAGCAGGTTACAAGAAAACTTGTTTAAAAGAAGATTGTCCCAGTCTCCGAGGTGTTCACAACACGTCATATCCAAGAGTTGGTGAGAATATTGCAGGATTTACAGAAGTGGCTTGTTTTCCTTTTAGTTACTTCAGCTGCTTGCTGCTGTTCCAGGTCTTAACGTGTCTTTCCCCAGAGTATGTGTGTCTCAGGTCTACTCAGGACTAAGTAGTTCAGGCTTTTCTTTCTTGCAGTAGTCTGTGACAAAGCATTCTTGTGACAATACCAGTCTTTATTGCAATGGAGTAATACCAGCAGAGTAATACCAATTAGAAGTTCCAACATAAATGAGATTTTAGCAATATAAAGGGTCACATTTTAATTTACTTTTTTCCCTA